AAAAAAAAAAAAAAAAAAAAAAAAGAGGTGAGAGGTGATACTTGCCTGAAATGGGTACCTGGATTTTTGAGGAAGAAGGAGGACTCAAGGATGGCCTCACCAATTCTGGATGGATGGAGGTGCCATCCCTGGGATAGGGGATACTAGAAGTAGAACAGTTCTGGATAGGGGGACACTGCAAATTCTGTTGGGGACTTGTTTCATTTGTGATGCCTGTGGGGTGTTCCCTGAGGATAGTCAGCAGGGTCAGCGGATGTATGGGTCTGAGCACGGGAGAGATGTTGGGATGGGCAGAGAAAACCAGCAGAGTGGAGTTGGCTGCCAGCCTTCAGTGGGGCTCCCTTCTGAAGGGAGCAAGTTTACAAGTAGATTTTGATCAGTGAATTCTTATTTTATAACCAGTTTGACTGGCATGCTCTCTTCTGTGCTCAACTTTTAGAATTCTTAGATATTTTAAGACCTTTTCATAAAAACTAACAATTCTCTACTTTGAAGAATGTGTCTCTTTCTTCTTGGCTGGCCTCCTTCCCTGCATGTCCTTGCAGTGGGTGGAAGCTATGCAACTCATAATGTGACACTGTCCGTTTTCTCAGATTTGTGACCCAGAAGGAAATTTCTAACCTCAGCCGTGGCTCTTGGTTCTGGCCAGAAACCAGCTTCATGTCTGAGTGCACGAGCAGCAGTTTGCCATGGAGAGCTTGGGGCTACAGACGGTGACCCTCAGTGATGGGACGACAGCCTATGTCCAGCAAGCTGTCAAAGGTGAGTATTTATGGGGACCTCAGAATCCTGCTCTGTCCCTTAGCCTCTGGAAAGTAGTGTCCTCTTTTAAGAGTCTCACCACCACCCTGCCCTCCTACCTGCTCATTCCTGCCCACCAACACAACTTGCTGTGCATGAGAATCTCATGTGATGCTTGATGAAAAGGGAACTCTTTCAAATAAAACGCTACCTCTTTAAAATAAAGTACAAGCGGAAAAGATCATACAAACCTAGCTTTAGGAGCCAAGACCTCTCAAAAGCAGAATTCCTTACATGTAGTGCATACTTCATAAATAATTCTGGAATGGATGAGCACAATGCAAGTTATGACTTCCTGCTTTTCACATATTCCCTGTTCCGTTTCTGCCTCCCTGTTTAAATCTTTCTCTTGTCAGTGCTTTTTACAAGCAGTTCATCATCTTAATTCAAGTTTAGGCACTCCGACTATCTACTGAGCATCTACCATGTACAAGATACTCTTCTAGGTTCAAAGGTGGACACCCAAACAGAGATCTCATGCCTTACTCCCCACTAGGGGTTGCCAGATATAAAAATACATGGCACACAGGTAGATTTGAATTGCAGATAAATGACAAATAATTTTTAGTGTAGATATGTTCCAAATATTGCATGGGATAAGAGCTGGCCGGTTAGTTCAGTTCATTAAAGCATGGTGCTTATAACACCAAGGTCCAGGATTCAATCCCTGTGCTGTCCAGCCAGCCCCAAAATGAATAAAATATATATTGCCTGGGACAGACATGTATAAACATGGGATTAAATACTAAAAAATACTAAAATAATAACACTAAGTACTAAAAAAATTTCATTGATCTGAAATTCATATTTACCTGGGCATTCTGTATGTTATCTTGCAACCCTACCCCCACTCTCAAGGAACTTAAATCAAGCAAGGTAGATGTGGATTCAGAAGAGAGTGTTGTTAGGGCTGGCCCATGGCTCACTCAGGAAAGTGCAGTGCTGATAACACCAAGGCCACAGGTTCAGATCCTATGTAGGGATGGCCGGTTCACTCACTGGCTGAGCGTGGTGCTGACAACACCAAGCCAAGGGTTAAGATCCCCTTACCAGTCATCTTTAAAAAAAGAGGAGAGTGTTGTTGAGGGCAAGGCTGCAGGCCAGGGACACTCCTCCTTTCTTGCCAGCATTCTCAGGCATGCCAGATGGCATTTGCATCTTCCTTGGACAGCACTGGGCAAGCACTGCCTCATTCCTACTCTTCATTTGGCCTTTTCTAGACTGCTTAAGTGACACCATCCTCATGGCTGTATTAGCATTGCAACATTGGCCTCTTTCATTTCGATGCATTGTCAAAATATATTTCTGATCCTAAGTTTACAGATAAGTTGTTTATTGATTTCATTTTAAATTGTTTTCTGATGACAACTAAAGAGGCCCCTAAATCTCATCAGTAAGATCTTTCCATACCGCAGTGTGTGGGGGTACCTTCTGGAAAGGTTTCTTGTCAAGAGCTGTCTTTGATGTGTGGATTTGCACTGGTTTCGTTCTCTTGAGAATGAAACTTTTGTAGAATACTTTTGAAGCCTTAAACCCTCTGTTTACAGACTTCCCACCATGGATCTTGCCCCTCTGGTGCCTTCTCAATGAGATGGAAGAACTTAGGAACTTTAGGTAGGGCTATATTTACTCCTTGGATCCAGTTAGTTCCCGTGCCTCAGTCTTCCACTGAGAATGAATGGTTGAATGAATGAATAAAAAGCAAGTGACCACACCTGGCCTGAGAAGGCCATTCTTTTTCTATATCTTCCCTTCTTATGTCTTGGTCTCTCTGCCTCGTTTAAGTCTTTCTCTTGTCACTCTTTCTGACTGTGTTCTCTGCCTTCTCTATAATATTATAGTGTGTGCTTACATTCACACACACACACACTCACAACAGATTTCCCACTCCTTAGGGTAGAGCTGGCCTTCAGGGACTAAAACCACACTGTCCTGAAAGGCTCCTCTGAAGCTTTTTTTTTATGTGGGGGGAAGGGGGTACCGCAGGCCAGTATGGGGATCTGAACCCTCTGAAACTTTTGTCTGCAGCACTTTCATCTCTTTCAGAAAGCATCTCTGTCTGGGCCTAGCTTAGCCAGCAAGCAGCTAGACTCATCTGTAATTAGGGTGAGCATGAAATGTATCATTCAAACCTGACTCTTTTGAGAGTGGATGAGTATGCCATTAATAAATGAGCTGGGACTGTCCCAGGCAAACAGGGACCTGTGTCACCTCTCTATAATGAGCTACAGTACCCACATCAGTCAGCTTTTCTCCCCACCTGCCTCTCCCCATTGTAGTCTCGTTTGTTAGAGGAAATTGTAAATTAAAATTTTTCCTCAAACAACTCTTCTCAACGTACTGTTTTCTGCCTTGAAGCAGTAACCACTCTGCTAGCAGTACCTCTGCTGAATGCTTTCAGAAACACTAGTACTGGTGCCCTTGTCAGGACAGATAAACTATTTTTTTTTTTTTTTGGTCTTTTTTCATGACCAGCAACGGATCGCAACCCTCAGTGTTGCGCCCGTACCGGACTGGGACCGGCAACGGGATCGCAACCCTCGGTGTTGCACCCGCCCCTTGCTCAGCCAGTGAGCAACCGGTCTGTATGTGGCATCCGAACCCTCGGCGGGAGTGCCGCCTCACTCCCAAGCGGCGCACTGTAGCAGTGCGCCACCGGGTCGGCCCCAGGACAGATAAACTATTTTTTTTTTTTTTGGCCTTTTTTCATGACCAGCAACGGATCGCAACCCTCAGTGTTGCGCCCGTACCGGACTGGGACCGGCAACGGGATCGCAACCCTCGGTGTTGCACCCGCCCCTTGCTCAGCCAGTGAGCAACCGGTCTGTATGTGGCATCCGAACCCTCGGCGGGAGTGCCGCCTCACTCCCAAGCGGCGCACTGTAGCAGTGCGCCACCGGGCCGGCCCCAGGACAGATAAACTGTTAAACTGAGGGTAGCCTCGTGCTCTCTGGGTGGGACGGAAGAGAATGGGTCCCTCTCCCTTCATCTCAGCTGCCTTTCTTACTTCTTACCTTTTTCTCCACCTCACCTGCCTTTGGCTGGGTTGTAGGACTGTTAGTTACTGACCCCAGAAGACTCAGTTTGGGGACAAGTTTGGAGATTCCTCTAAAGGGGAGATATCAGTAGAGAGCTGAGCTGGAAGTGGCTGCCTGGTCCTTTTCCCACATCATAAGAGATCAAATTCCTAAGCCTGAAATTTCTAAAAAAAGGAACAAACAAATCACTTGTCATTAATTCTTCAATCTCCCTCTCCTCCTTTCCTTTCTCCCTTCCTTTCTTCCTTCCCCCTCCTCTCAGACTCACTGGACATAGGGAGGGACCATCTAATTCTAATTTCAAGAGCCTTTTAGAAGTGTTTTCCAGTAAGGTAAAGGAAGAGTAATATCTTAGGAAATCTGGAGTCTTTTTAATTTTTACACTACCTGTGTTGCCTTAGGTGAGTCAATTTTTATTGGAAAATTGAAAGTATCAGAGATCACTGAAGGAAATATTACTCAACGGTGGCAGTAGAACAAGACCTAGATGGACACATTAATAGTGGCAGTAGAACAAGACCTAGGTGGACACATACATAGCTCCCTATTGGGCTTTTTTTTTTTTTTTTTGGCGTTTGGCCAGGCCGGGGACCCAACCCCTTATTTTTTTTTTTTTGTCTTTTTTCCGTGTCCGGCAACGGATCGCAACCTTCAGTGTTGCCCCCGTACCGGACCGGGGACCGGCAACGGGATCGCAAGCCTCGGTGTTGCTCCCGCGCCTCGCTCAGCCAGTGAGTGGGAGCCGGTCTGTATGTGGGATCCGAACCCTCGGACGGGAGCGCCGCCGCACTTCCCAAGCGGCGCACCATCCAGTGCGCCACCGGGCCGGCCCCGAACCCTTGATTTTGATTTTATAACACCATACTCTAACCAACTGTGTTCCCAGTGTTTAATATTCATTAAATTATTTAATCTTCACAGCAACCCTATGAGGAAGACACAGTTTTTAATCTCCATTTCAGAAGAGGAAACTGAGGCACAGAGAGGTTAAATAAGTTCCAACGTCACACAGCTATTGAGAGATAGAGCTGGCATTCAAACTCAGGAGGCTTGGCTGGTTCCAGAGTCTGTCATTTTTAACCACTATGCTATGGGTCTTGGCACTCTGCCATAGTGAGAGACAGGGGAATATATGTTGATTTTGTTAGTTTGAGCTATATCTGAATTTTGACCCACTGTTGTTTTTCTAGGTTTTGGGACATCTTTTAGTCTCCATTTAGTTCAATCTCAGCAACATACTATGAAGTTGGGAGTCCCCACTTTGCCAGGCATGGATAGAATAATAAATGAAGTTCCTCCTCCTGTGAGTGATAGGAAGGGAATCTGTTAGGAATATAGGGTCCTGCGTGGCAGGATGTTTTCATCCTCAGTGCCTCAAGGCCCAGGCCTAGGGAGGCAGGGAGTGAGGAAACACAGAGAATGTTACCCATGCTTAAACCTGCAGGGGCCTCAAATAGGCCTCTCCTACAAACAGGTAAGTGTCTTGTATTAGTTCGTTTCTGTTGCTTATAACAGAAATAACTGAAACTGGGTAATCTGTAAAGAAATAATATTTATTGCTTATAGTTTTGGAGTCTGGGAAGTCCAATGTCCAGGGAACGCATCTGGTGAGGGCCTTTGGTGGGTGGTGACAGAGTGTCACATGGCAGATGGCTGAGGAGAGAGAGAGAACTTCTCATGTGCTCTCCTTTTAAAGCCTTCAGAACCACACCCATGACCACCATTAAACCATCAATGGATTAATCAATTCACCAGGGCACAGTCTTCACAATCCAGTCACCCCTCCAAGGCCCCACCTTTCAACTACTACAAAAGGATTTCCCACCCTCTTACCACTGTCACAGTAGGGATCAAGCTTCCAATACATTAAACTTTGGGGGAACACAATTCAGTCCATAGCATTCCACCTCAGCCCCTAAAATTCATGTCCTTTTCCCATACAAATACATTCATTTCATCCCTGAAGTCTTGATTTGTTTTGACTTAAAAGTCCAGAGTCCAATCTGTGAAATCAAAACAAATTATCTACTTACAAGATACAATGGTAGGACAAATATAAGGTACATATTCCTGTTCCAAAAGGGAGAAATAGGCCAAAAGAAAGGGGTAACAGTTCCTAAACAAACCCAGCAGGGCAGGCATTAAATCTTACAGCTGGCAAATCATGTACCTTGACTCCATATTCAAAGTCCTCTGCACACTGATGTGGGGATTGGGCCCCCAGGTCCTCAGGCATCTCCACTGCTATGGCTTTCCTAATCTCTGGCCATGCTTTAACTCTCCCAGGCTGGTGTTGCACACTGGTAGCTCTACAGTTCTGGGATCTCCATGGCAGTCCTGCTCTCACAGCTGCACTAGGCATAGCACTGGTGGGGGTTTTCTGCTACAACTCTGACCCCACATTTCCACTAGGCATTGCTCTAGCAAAGGTTGCATGCGGTGATACCACCCCCATGACAGATTTCTTCCTGGGTCCCCAGGCTTTTTCATACATCCTTTGAAATCAAGATGGAGGACCCCAAGCCTCCATAGCTCTGGCCTTCTTTGAGCTCGCAGACTTAAAACCGCATGGAAGCTGCCAAGCTTTCAGCTTGTATCCTCTGAAGCTGCAGGTCCAACTGTACCTGGGGCCGGTTTAGCTACAACTGAGCAGCCAAGGTGCTAGTGCTGAAAGCAGCCTCCCAAGATGGCCCTGGGCAGTGAGCCCATGGAAGATACCTCTGGCCTTCCCTGAAAACCATCCTTTGTCACTAGGCCTCTGGGCCTGTGATGGAATGGTGGTCTGGAAAACTTGTGAAATGCCTTCAGACCTTTCTCCTCTTCTTTTAGCTATTAGCTCCTGGTTGCCTTGGAGCCATGCTATAATGTCTTTAGCAACCAGTCCTTCCTCTGCACCCTTGGATTTTTCTCCTGAAAATGCTCTTTCATTCTCTGCCACATGGCCAGGCTGCAAATTTTCCAAATCTCTACACTCTGCTTCCCTTTTAATTGTAAATTCCAGCTTTACATCATGCCTTTGCTGCCATAACTGAGCATAATCTGCTATAAGTAGCCATGCAGCTGTTTGAATGCTTTGCTGCTTAGAAATTTCTTCTGCCAAATATTCTGGTTTATTTAAGTCCCACCAACCACAAAGTACTAGGGCATGGATACAGTGCAGCCAAAGTGCTTGCAAGTTCATAGGAAGGTTGTTCTTTGCCCCCCGTTTCCAATAATCCACTTTTTATTTCTGAGACCTCCTTAGAATGGTCTTTATAGTCCATATTTCTTATTTTTTTTTTTTCTTTTTTGTCTTTTTTTGTGTCCGGCAACGGATCGCAACCCTCAGTGTCCGTTTCCAATAATCCACTTTTTATTTCTGAGACCTCCTTAGAATGGTCTTTATAGTCCATATTTCTTTTTTTTTTTTTTTCCTTTTTGTCTTTTTTTGTGTCCGGCAACGGATCGCAACCCTCAGTGTCGTGCCCGCACCGGACCGGGACCGGCAATGGGATTGCAAACCTCGGTGCCGTGCCCGCACCTCGCTCAGCCAGTGAGCGGGAACCGGTCTGTATGCGGGATCCGAACCCTCAGTGGGAGCGCCACCGCGCTCCCAAGCGGCGCACTGTAGCAGTGCGCCACCGGGCCGGCCCTATAGTCCATATTTCTATAAGCATTCTGATTACTGTGATTTAACCAGTCTCTAAAACATTCTACACTCTCCTCACCAGCATCTAGGCTTTTCCTAGCCTGTTCCTCCAAATTCTTCCAGCCTCTGCTCAATACCCAGTTCCAAAGCCACTTCTACAGTTTCAAGTATTTTTTTATAAGAAACAACCCACTTTCTGGTGTCAGTTTTCTGTATTAGTCTGCTTCTGTTGCTTATAACAGAAATACCTGAAACTGGGTAATTTATAAAGAAACAATATTTATTGCTTACTGTTTCAGAGGCTGAGAAGTCCAAAGTTCAGGGAACACATCTGGTGAGGGCCTTCTTGGTGGGCGGTGACAGCAATGCAGAGTGTCACGTGGCAGATGGCTGAGCAGAGAGAGAGCAAGCTTCTCATGCACTCTTCACCACTCCCATTTCCACCATTAAAGCATCAGTGGATTAATCCATTCACCAGGGCACAGTCCTTACAGTCCAATTACCTCTCCAAGGCCCCACCTTTCGACTAGCACGATAGGACTTCCCACCTTCTTAACACTGTCATAGGGGGGACCAAGCCTCCAACACATTAAAGTTTGGAGAGATAAAGTTCAATATATAGCATGTCTCTTAGTCCTCTTTTGAGCTTGGCCCATTTCTCTCTGCTTCCACCTGCACAGGAGAGAAGCTGCTTGAAGGGCAAGTAATCCAGCTCGAGGATGGGACCACCGCATACATTCACCAAGTGATGGTACAGAAAGGTGAGGGCGCCCCAACACACCCCTGCCAGTGGAGAGAGGCCTGGCAGCCCCCACCAAGGGACTGCTCCATTGCACTGAGCTCCAGAGAAAGGCAGGCATTGCTCTCATTACAGAATCTCTCTCCTTTGAGGATGGGCAGCCTGTACAGCTGGAAGATGGCAGCATGGCCTACATACATCGCACACCCAAAGGTAAGGTCACCATCATTATGACTAGTGGTGAAGGAGGGGAGGCAGAACTGGCAGAAGTTAGGGGATGGAATGGCACACTGTGTGGGCTGGGGTATGGATATAGGAGCTGTCATCCCCAAGGTACATATGTGCTCACCTGCATTAGCAGTCTTGCCCACCTTCCCTGGTGCAAACCACAGGAACAGCTGTTTCTGCCCCCAGGTGACTGAGCCTTGGGGGTCAGTAGCATGGGCCTTGATGGTCCCTCTGGCTCAAGCACATCCACAGAGTCTTAGGGCTTTAAATAGGACCCAAGGACATCATCCAAGACCAGGAGAAAAAACTTACCAATGTTTAAAAATGAAGTTCCTAAGATAATCAAGAATAATGACATTCCTTCTACAAGTAGTTTCTTGAACAACTACTGCATGCTAGTCACTGTGCTAGGTGTGGAGTATACCAGAGAACCATAAAGTAAGACACAGTCCCTGCTTTCCTAGTGTCTAGTGGAGGAAATAGAAGTGAAACAAGCCATCACCAATGAACTGATTGTTACAGACGGGGGGCCCAGGGAGAGCTTCTCTGAGGAAGTGATGCTTCAGCTGAGAGCTGAAGGATAAGGTGGACTTAGCTAGGGGAAAGGGAGTGGCTTGGAGGGTTAGTGCTCCTGACAGAAGGAACATCATGTGCAGGCCTAGAGCTGGGGGGAAGAAGGAATGGCATGTGCCAGGAATTGCTAAAAGCCAGAGTGCTGGGAGTGAGGGCAGAATGGGTAAGATGAAGCCAAATAGAGAGGCAGGGCCAGCGTGCACAGGGCTTGAGTGTCAGGTTAAGGATTTTGACTTTTATCCTAAAACCAGTGGAAAGTGTTTAAACTGTTTAGGTAGTTAGGTGACACAATCACATTTGTGTCCTGCAAAGATCCCTCTGGATGCTGTGCTGCCTGAAGGGAACTAGAGGGGTGAAGGGTGACTGGTCAGGAGGCTCTTGTGGTCATCTAGGCCAAGGTGATGATGGTCCGCTTTCAGTTCCTCAAGGAGCTTGTGAGTTCCCAATCAGTGCGTCTTAGAAGAGGCAGCCCTAGAAGGAGGGCCAGCAAGAGTGATGACCAAAGTGATGGGCTGAGAGAAACTTGATACTGAAACCCTCTTTGGTGTATGTACCTCTCATTAACTTAAAACCAGAGTCCCAGCTTATCTCTTCCCCTCGTGCAGCATCAGGGCTAACCATGTGTTCCCTGCAGAAGGCTATGACCCTACTGCCCTGGAAGCTGTCCAGCTGGAAGATGGCTCCACTGCCTACATTCAACACCCCATGGCTGTGTCGTCAGACAACACCATCCTGGCTGTGCAGACAGAGGTGGGCTTGGAGGACCTGGCAGCAGAGGACGACGAAGGCTTCAGTGCAGACACAGTGGTGGCCCTGGAACAGTATGCCAGCAAGGTGAGCACTCAGAGCCTGACATTGTCCGTTACTCTCTGGACAATGGGGCCTCTCCTGTCTAACACCTCTTGGCCTTGTCAGAACTTCACCTCTCCAAAGGACAAGGGCAGCCTTGTGCTTGGGAATGGCCTGGTCTACTCTCTGTGCCCCTCATCCCCAGCTCTCCTGACTCATCACTCACACATCATCGTCCAGGGCGTGCATCACAGCCTAGCTGGGGCCGCTGACAGCTGTTTATACTCATGTGTTTATGGTGTCTGTGCAGAAGGAAGACTGGTATAAGAAACAGTAACATCCATATGGTGGGAAGTTAGGCCCAGTTTCACTTTTGCTGCTGCAATAATCCTCTGTGCTATCTGGGAAATCCCTTGCCAGTGACTTTTATTAGTTTTCCAGTCCACTGAGGTCACATGCTCTTGTATTTATTTCTTCTCTGCAACTCATTTAGTCATTTGGGAAAATAACCTCAGTGGGCAATGACGAGGGAATGTGCAACAGAGCAGCTGGAATTCTTGGAACACAAGGCCCACACAGTAGCTCAGCTGAAGAGAAGGGTCCTGGCTCTCCAAACATCAGTTAATCCAAGTTCTCTCTCCTGGAACTGTGGTCCTACCTGCAGGGGAAACAAGGGTACAGAGATCTATGAGCTTTCCAAATTGGGGTGCTCCTTCTCTAGACTGGACTGCAGAGCCTCAGGGTGGATGTGACAAAGCTTCCCAAAGTACCAGTTTTACCCAGAGATTGGGGAAGAGTTGTTTTTATAATAAAACTAGTGTGGCTATATGGTAGAGGAAAAGAGGAAATCATGTCTTTTCAAAGTGATACTCAAAACTTTATAGTAGGCCACATTGGGCTATGCCCACTCCCACCTCTGTTCCCCAAGGCATATTTTAGAGACCAAATTTGAGACTTGCTGCTTGTGGAAAGAGAACTGGGCTTTATTTAAATCATGAGCCCTGAGATCTGCTGCTCCCTAGTCCAATCTTGGGTGAGTTACTCCCCTCCTAGGCCTCAACTTATTGCTCTCAAATACAATGTGATGGGACCAGATGATTTTAGAGGTCACTTCTAACCCTGATGTTCCTTGATTCCTTGACTACCCAGGGTGGTAATGAGACATGGGAATGAAATTTGAGCTCCCAAATGGGTTAGCCCGTCAAGCAGGCCCGGCCACCTGTAACCCTCTCTTGTACCATCCAGCTGCTTAAGTGTCCATGAAACTTTGTTAGCTGCTTGACCCCTTGATCTGGAGCCTGACTAGACAGACCTTGCTGTGAATTTGGCCTTATCCTTTTGTCCCCTGCTCACCATGACTTCCAGAGTTCTGTTTCAGGAGCTCCCCGAAAGACCAAAGTGTGATCCTGCAGCCTCCCAGAAAGAAAGACTAAGGGAAAGTTCTACCAGGACCCTGCCCAGGAAAGCACAAGAGCAGTGAAGGCTCCCTGTGGCCAGAGGCTGGTGTGAGATGGGTGGCTTTAGCAACATCAAGTGCTGTGTTTAGAGCTGAGACTTCTAGGGGGACCTGCAGTCCCCCTCGCCTGGGTGCTTCTGGTCATGGCCACTGCACTCTGGGCCCCATGCCCTGCCACAGGAACCTGAGTGAGCTCATCAAGTGCCCTTGCTAATGTCCCTTCTGAGCACAGGTTTCCCACTGGGAGGCAGGGGGCCCCTCCCATCTTCTGATGGGAGGGGTCAAGAGTTGCAGCCCCCTAGGTATGTGGTTAAAAGGCGAGTTTCTGGCACTTAGCCTCAAGTGTGGCCATTCAGATAACCCCCCTCCCCCCAGCCCCTGTGACAGTCCTCCCTCTATTCATCAGAGATGGGTGGTCACTCTATATGCCCGCCCAATTTCTTCTGCAGTGTGCCCCAACACAGCATGTTCCCTGTCTGTCTGGATATGTCCTTTTGCTTCAGAGGCCTGTGGCAAGCTTAGCTCTGTTTATTGGGTCTTAAGCTGCCAGGGGTATCCCACCCCTGCTCTCCCTTCATTGGGGAGAATACATATAGGGACCCCTAGATTTTTTCCTCAGGTTCTGCATGACAGCCAGGCTCCCCATAATGGCAAAGGGCAGCAGGTTGGAGACAGAGCATTCCGCTGCGGCTACAAGGGCTGTGGGCGCCTCTACACCACTGCTCATCACTTAAAGGTAAGGTTGCTGGCAGACAGCTTTCAGTTCTGCCATCTTCTCTTCCAGGCTGTAGTTCTACTTTTCCACTTTCATTGGAACTGGTCACTGCCCTCAAGTTGTGCATTACCTGCTGGAGGGAGGAAGATATGAATGTACAGGAGTGTCAGCACAGGGAGCTTTAACACACGTGAACAGTGCAGGAAGGAAGAGAATCAGGGCCCTACAGAGAACCAAGGAGCCACAGTCATACTCTTATCTCTCTGAATTATGTGATTGCTTTTCCTCCCAGGTGCATGAACGAGCTCATACGGGTGACCGTCCATACAGGTGTGACTTCCCCAGCTGCGGGAAGGCCTTTGCCACAGGTAATCTACCTGAAGATCCAAGGTGGACCACTTCCAGTTGAGGGGTCAGTTTTGGGACCTCCCTGAAGGGAACCCAATACTAGGCTACCTCTTTGGAGAAACTACTGTTAAAGTGCTCTGACTTGCAGGGTGCCCTCCCTGGAGGAAACCCTGTTACAGAAGTGAAAGGGGGACTGGCTGATTAGCTCAGGTGGTTAGAGCACAGCCCTATAATATCAAAGTCATGGGTTCGGATCCCCATACCAGCCAGCTGCCAAAAACAAAAACCCAAAAAATAAAATAAAATAAAAAATAAATAAATAGCATAAAAAAAAAAAAGAAATGAAAAACAGTATGGTCCAGGCCAACAGAGGAGCCTGTGGGGGTTGGTGGAGAGACCCTGCCTCTTGTGTTGGGTAGGCCATTACATCTCTCTGGGCTTTATTTTCCCGTCTGTGAAACAAGGACCTTTAGCCACGGGTTCTGGAGGATCCCTCTTATGCTTATGTTCTGGAATGGCTTCAACTCCCTAGAGAGGGAAGGAGGGCAGGGTGGGCTTTCCTAGCCTCTTTTATTTCCCCTGGCGGGGGTGGGATAGAGGCAGACTTGGGCTTCTTGAACCATAGGAGGTCTAGAGCCTCACGGAGCACAGTTAAGATGGAGAGTCCCAGAATGAGGTGGACAGTGGAGGATGAGGCCCCACTGGTTGCTCCTCTCACCCCTGCCTTCCACACACTGACAGGCTATGGGCTGAAGAGCCATGTTCGCACCCACACTAGAGCCTCACGGAGCACAGTTAAGATGGAGAGTCCCAGAATGAGGTGGACAGTGGAGGATGAGGCCCCACTGGTTGCTCCTTTCACCCCTGCCTTCCACACACTGACAGGCTATGGGCTGAAGAGCCATGTTCGCACCCACACTGGTGAGAAACCATACAAGTGTCCGGAGGAGCTATGCAGCAAGGCCTTCAAGACCTCAGGAGACCTGCAGAAGCATGTCCGAACCCACACCGGTATGCAGGGCACTGCCCGCCCCCACCCCATTCCCTCAGCTTACCTTACAGACTTAGACCTGGAACCTGGTGCCATCCCCTTCTTGCTCCAGCATGGCCACCCTTCCTGAGCCACCCCTCACACACCCCATTTGCACAGGTGAACGTCCATTCCGGTGCCCTTTTGAGGGCTGTGGCCGCTCCTTCACCACGTCTAATATCCGCAAGGTACACGTGCGCACCCACACAGGCGAGAGGCCCTACACCTGCCCAGAGCCCCACTGTGGCCGTGGCTTCACCAGTGCCACCAACTACAAGAATCACGTGCGCATCCACACAGGTGGGCCAGCTGGCACACGAGGACTATCCCTCTGAGGCCCCAACCCCTCCACCATAGGCTTCTGATGTGAGACCCATTCTCAACTCCAGCCCAGAGCCCTTCTTTGCTGGCCCTTCCAGGCTGGTCTGGGGGTGGGGGATCCCAGAACCACTTTGACTCGCAGTGAGTGGCTCCTCCATTTCCAGTTAGGGCCAGTCTGACAGGTATTGCAGCCCCCTCTGGGGCCCCTCCGCTCCCTGCCACCCCTCTACACCCACCCTGAATTCTCCCCCTCCGGCCAAGCTCCCCAAGAGACCAGGGTCAAGAATGATGGGGAAGAAGCAGGGTGAAATGTCACCTTCACCTCCTCACCACATCCACTGTCCCTATGATTCCTGTGTGTTCTCACCCTCCCCAGTGTTACGTCCCTTGCCCAACCTTCCATGTCATCTCTTAGCCATGTGTGTCCCCCCCGCTCCTGTTGCACCTGACACTTTAGTCTTCCCTGCTTCCTGCCTCTTCTGTTCACCACTCTCAATCCTCCCACCCTCAACCTTACCATCCCTCAGTGCCCCCCACAAGCCCCAGCCTAGCCCTGTTCCCTGTTTCCCCCTGACCTTGTCTGTGGGCTGAGTGATCCCACACATACATCCTCTCTGTTCCACTGGCCATCTTCCCCAACTCTGTCCATTCAGGATCTCAGGTCTCAGTTCCTTTCCCTCCCTCTGGCTCTACCTTCACCCTGACCCTCCCCACCCCTGTCCCCTTAGTTTCCCCCTTGCCAGCCCCAGTTCCCACCCTCCTCACAGCCCAGTGTCCCCAGGGGAGAAGCCATATGTTTGCACGGTGCCAGGCTGTGGGAAGCGCTTCACCGAGTACTCAAGCTTGTACAAACACCATGTGGTGCACACGCACTGCAAGCCCTACACCTGCAGCACCTGTGGCAAGACCTACCGGCAGACCTCCACCCTGGCCATGCACAAGCGCAGCGCCCATGGCGAGCTGGAGGCCACTGAGGAGAGCGAGCAGGCCCTCTATGAACAGCAGCAGCTGGAGGGTGAGAGGAGTGGGCAGGGGGTGAGTGTGGGTACAAACCAGGCCTCCCCATGGCATCTGGTAGCAGGTGTCAGCCTGAGCTGTCTTCTCCAGCCGCCTCTGCAGCCAAGGAGAGCCCACCACCCAAACAACCCCGCATTGCTTACCTTTCGGAGGTGAAGGAAGAGGATGATGACATCCCAGCCCAAGTGGCCATGGTGACTGAGGAGGATGGGGCCCCTCAGGTGGCTCTGATCACTCAGGATGGTGCCCAACAGGTACAGGCCCTGGGGAACAGGAGTGGGGTAGGTCACTCTGGCTGGCACCCTCTCAACTCTCTGGAAACTCTGGGGAGCCCTGAAATTCTGACAGCTCCATCTCCTTCTCCATCCAGTTTCCTGTTGTAGCTTTTTGGACCTCAGAGAGCTGAGGATGAGGGGCCAAATTCGTACAACACAGCCCCTCCTCCTCCTCATGCTTCCTACTCAGTCTCTGGGACTTCTGGAGCACAGTTAGTAGTTTCCCTCTTAGAGGCTGACAAGTCCTGACCATCTGAATAAGACACTTGGATGTCCTTTTCAAGAGAGGCATGTTGATATAGGGGCCAGAACATGGAGTAGGGTCTGGAAGCCTGGGGTCTAGTTCCACCAGCCAGCAGCATAACCTGACCCTAGTCAGCACCCTTACTATAATGTGCACCTATGCCTTATAGAGTTGTCATGAGAACAAACTTAGGTGAAGCCCCTGGATTGAATACAGAATTCTTCTAGTGTAGCCTCTCTTTGCTGCCTTGGGCCTGTTTTGTTTGCTTGTCCCCCACCCCTTTCATCCCTGTGACATGAAGTTAACCTTCTAGCTTACCAATAAGCTAACCTTGTCTGGGAGAGCAGGTACACCCTCCATCGGGGCTTTCAGACAGCCTTCCACTGGCACTCCCAGCTCATCTTCTCTCCTCCTGTTAGCAGGTCAACCTGTCCCCAGAAGACTTACAGGCCCTGGGGAGTGCCATCAGTATGGTGACCCAGCATGGCAGCACCACCCTTACCATCCCCAGTCATGACGACGATCTGGCCACATCTGGCACACATACGGTCACCATGGTCAGCGCCGATGGCACCCAGACACAGCCCGTATGACCAGGCGGTTTGCTTGGGGTTTCTTTTTCCTTTTCCATTCCTTTCTGTGGGGTGGGCATTAAAGTTCAAGCTCAAGTAGTCAAGCCTTCTTACAAAGACAAAGATTCCTCACAAAAAGGGGTCTTCCCCCTCGCTCCTCTGGGTCATCAGCAACTCTCATCTTTTTTTTTTTTTTTTCCTTTTTGTCTTTTTTACTGACCGGTAACGGGATCTCAACCCTCGGTGTCGCGCCTGTACCGGGGACCAGCAACGGGATCGCAACCCTCGGTGTTGCGCCCGCAACGCGCTCAGCCAGTGAGCGGGAACCGGTCTCCACATGGGATCCGAACCCTCGGTGGGAGCGCCACCGCGCTCCCAAGCGGCGCACTTCTCCAGTGCGCCACCAGGGCGGCCCGACTCTCATCTTTAAAAGCATTTGATTGAGGGCCGGCCCATGGCTCACTTGGGAGAGTGTGGTGCTGATAACACTAAGGCCGTGGGTTCGGATCCCTATATAGGGATGGCCGGTTAGCTTACTTCAAAGAGCGTGGTGCTGACAACACCAAGTCAAGGGTTAAGATCCCCTTACCGGTCATCTTTTATTTTTTTTTTTTTTTTTTTTTCCTTTTTTTTTTTTTTTTACTTGGGAGAGTGTGGTGCTGATAACACTAAGGCCGTGGGTTCGGATCCCTATATAGGGATGGCCGGTTAGCTCACTTCAAAGAGCGTGGTGCTGACAACACCAAGTCAAGGGTTAAGATCCCCTTACCGGTCATCTTTTAAAAAAAAAAAAAAAAAAAACATTTGATTGAGGGTCAAGAGACAGTTTCTAATTCTCAGTCTACCCCTAATTTGCTTTGCAGCCAATCATGGACAGGTCACTTTTCTGTGGACTTCAGTACATTTTCAGATGAGAGGACTAAACTATCCCTGGGTTTTTATTTACAGTTCTGTACTATGATTCAAAATCCCTAAATTAAATTGGACTCTAAATTGGAGAAAAACCCAACCTCACTCACCTCTGAGCCCCAAACTAATTAATCTGACCTTTCCCTTCTGAGTTGTTCCTAGCCACCTTGCTTGGAGGGATTTGTATTTGGATTGGTGGGAGGGAGAGTATTGCAGGTGGGTTGGAAGACCTCATTCTTCTGTATTTCAGGTCACAATCATTACCTCTGGAGCTGTGGTGGCTGAGGACTCAAGTGTCACATCCCTTCACCATCAGCAGGTGGCAGTGTTGGCCACAGCCAATGGAACGCACATTGCAGTACAGGTAGGTAGAGATCTGGAAGGAAAGAGGATCCCAGGACCAGAAAAGAGAACAAGGGAGTGAGGGGAACTGGATGGGGATCTTGAAGGGAAGGGCATCTAGTTCAAAAAGAGCCCATTTCAGAGGACAAATCCCTTTCTCTGCCTATATCCACATGTCTGTCTCAGGCTCTTTCTTGGCTGAGGCAGAATGGTGAAGTCCCTTCCAGTCTTCAGGGTAACTCTGATGGCAGTCCATTTTCATCTCTTCATGTCTCTGTTTCTTCATCTGGAAAATGAGGAGGCTGAAGTAGATGATCACTAGGTCCTCTCCAGCCAGTCATTCTCCTTCTGTGAGCAAGCCCGTCTCTCTGACCGTGGACTATTCCATGGCTCCCTGGCCATGCCTAGCCTAATATGACTCTTAACTTTCTGTTTACTGGGGCCCTACTAAGCGCTCAGCATGTAGCATTGGGTAGATGGAGGAGATTCAAAAGAGTAGGCCACATATAACTAGCTATAACTATAAGGAAGGGTCTCATTCTCTCCTTTCTTCTGCACTCCCTTCTCCACAGCTGGAAGAGCAGCAGACCTTAGAGGAGGCCATCAGTGTAGCCACCGTTGCCATGCAGCAAGGGGCCGTGACCCTGAAGACAACAGTGTCGGAGAGTGGCCGCTGAGCCCAGGAAGGCTGGGTCCCAAACCATGTTGGAGGAGGTGCCATGCTGCACAGGCATCCTTGCCTCCAAAGGCCCAGGCTGTGGCTGACACGTGGAAGGTGGCCACATAGGTCTCTGGAGTGAAAAGGCAGCAGGAAAACAGCCTAACTGGAGGGGATGGGGGTCCTGCCCAAGAGGAGGGCCAGGCAGCTGGAATTGTAGAGGAGCACACCATCCTCAGGAGCTGAAGAGAATAAGTCTGATCAGCAGGCTGCATGGGGCACCCTCCCCTCAAGATCAGCTGGGCACCTGCTTTCCTCCCTCTAGATAGTACCCTTTCTGCCTTCTGTACACTCCTCCTCTCAGGTGGAGATTGGGCTTTTGTGGGGACTGGCCATCCACCCTGACTGGTCACAGCCCACCAGGGGAGAAAGCAGACAGCTCTTCAGCTCAGTAGGGGCAGAGCAGGCCCAGCCCTGCCCCTCCCAGCAATAACCACCTCTCCGGAGGCTAGCCAAGATTCCTGGCCACTTGGCACCAGGGGCTTCCTGCCACTGCAGTCAGAATTAATTGCTCAGGGGCCTGTGGCTGAAGAAAAGGTGCCCAGCCTCCACCCAGCTGCCCCCCAACCTTTCTGTGACAGAGAGGCAAGGAGCAGCCCTGTACATAGACTGCTGGGGATTGGGTTTAAACTGTTTTGTTTTTTTTAATTCATTTTGATAATTTTATTTTTTTCCTGCTCTGGGTGGTGGTGGCAAAAGGGTGAATGAGTATTTAATAAAAGTTCCAAGTTTTCAACTTGATCCCTACATTCTTTCAGCTGTGGACCCTGGTTGTAGGGCTGATCAAGTCAGGCTCTCAGCCTTGTATCCCTGACACAGACCCTGCTCAGCCTTGGTGCCGGACTAGTAGGGCTGGCCTATCTGGGGCACAGGTGGGAGGAAGGCCCCATGTAAGATAAGCCTAGAGGAGGTGCTGGTGGTTTCCTGCCCACAGCAGAGCAGGTGAGCTCCAGGGTGGCCCAACAGGACTAGGGTGACCACTGATTACAGGCTCTGGCTAAATCTCAGGCCCCAGGATGGTTGAGCTGGAGGAACTCTTGGTATTTTCTGCTTTACCTTGTAGAATGTAGTCAGAGCACCTCCAGATCCAGCTACCCTCCAGCTACACACAGCTGCTCCAAGAGGGCAAAGCCCCAGCTTAGAGGGGCTGGGGAGTGTCTTCACTGAGGTTACTGAGATTCAGGAAGTAGAGTCTGGTGCCTCTGCTGAGCTGGTGTCTAGGGCTGTGCTGTGGTTTTCCAAAGCCACAGTTGGACCCCCCTGAAAACTGAGTGGTAAGACCATGACCAGCCCAAGCAGGGGAAGACACTTGATGGAAAGGAACTCTGGGTTTGGCACCGACTGGACAGGAACATTGTAGGGATTGGAGGTGCCTCTCTTTTCTTATTCTTTGTCCACTGTGTTGGATGTGCCCCAGCCCTTTCCTGCCACCAGGACTGGAACCTCCTCCCCTAAGCCAGGCATCCTCTCCTAGGATGCCTAGAAAGCTCCCATTTACTCTTGCCATCAGCTCCTTGGAAGCATGGGGCTGAGGCATGCCCCCGGGTAGGGAGTATCTCAGAATTGGCCTGAGCAGGTTTCTTCAACACTCATGGCCATTTTTCCTGGTGTGGGTGTGTCCCAGCCCTCTTGGGCACTGGATCTAAAAAAAGTGGAAGACCCCGAATCCCAAGCCTGCTGCTGCCAGGACCCCTGAGGTTGGGCCCCACCACTGGGCTCACCCCCATGTGATTCAGAAACAGTCTCTGGTGTCTTCAGGGCCACTAGGCCCAGAGTGGGCGGTGCTCTGAGTGCCTTGTAGAGCAGTGCCCAGAGGCCAGGAGCCATCAGATCAAGTGCCTATTCTGCCTGACCTGGGGCGGTGCCCTGGCTTGATTCCTCCTCCGAGTCTGTGATGTCACCTGTGTATTCTTCTTGAGGGAAGCCCCACCACCGAGGCAACCTTAGGTGGCACTAAAAGAAATGCTTCATCCAGAGCCTACTGTGTGTTTTATATCCGTTCTCATTCTTATCATTCTGGAGCTTGGTATTTTTCCTGCATTACCAGTGAGGAAACTGCTCAAGGAAGTTAAGTAACTTATCCAAGGACTCCCACCTGGTAAGTGTGGATTTGGAGCTGGACCCCCACTTTGTCTGACCACAAAGTCAGGATAGGCTTTCTTTTTCCTTCAGAAAGCTGCCTCTAGGAGACCAGGAAGAGTCCAGAAAGTTCTGGGGCTGAGGAGGCTTGCATGGCCAGGGAGCCAGGCCAATACAGTACAAGGGCTCCAGCTCTCAGAAGGCTGCTCTCCAGTTCCTGTGCAGGCAGTGGGGCTGCTGAGCAGTGAGAGCAACACACTGGTTCCTGCCAGTGTGGGGAGGCAGAGCAAGCAGGCAGGTGGAGCTCGTGCTCCATGCCACAGCCCCTCTGCGGTCTCTGCAGCCGTTTGCATTTCCTGAAACCGGATCTTTGGTGTCAGAGCCGCCCCTGGGCCGGGCGGGTGCCTCAGCCATGGCCCTGCGCAAGGAGCTGCTCAAGTCCATCTGGTACGCCTTTACTGCGCTGGACGTGGAGAAGAGCGGCAAGGTCTCCAAGTCCCAGCTCAAGGTGAGGGGCACCTGGGGTCCAGGGGAGGCTGGTAGACACACCACACCAGTCCCTGCCACCTGGGAGCCAGGCATGAGCACCGTGCTACTCTGGGGTCATCCAGCGGCCCAGGCCTGGGGTGTGGGGTTGATACTGGGTAACTAGGCCAACATGGTGTGGTGGATGCTGCTGCCCACTGTCCCGAGGCCCCAGTGAAGTGTGTGCAGAGCTGGTGCCCAGAACCCGGCCCCCTCCACCAACTGGAGGGTGGGGGTGGCATCATGGGGCTTTGAGAGCCATGAACCAGGCCACCTCCCAGACTTTGTGTGATGAGCACACGTCTCCCCAGAGTCATGCTTGGGCATGCGCCCTATTCCTGACACTTCCTCCTGGCTTTGAAGAGAGACAGTTAGCCCGTACTTGTCAGGCACTTCCTCTGGAGCTGAGAGTGAAGCATAAAGAGCCTCCCCAACTCCCAGACTAGGCTGGCCCACAGAGCCCTGCCCCCCAGGTAGGATGGAGCTGTAGAGGGGCAAGGACTGAAGACTCCATTATACTGTCACCCAGCTCACCGTCATCCTCCACCCACACACACACCAGGTTAGGAAGCTATGAGACCTCATGTAGGGAGAGAGTAGAATGTGAACCCAGGAAAAAGCCACATCAGCGATTGTCCTAAACTCCATCATCCAGCCTAGACAATTCCTGAGAAGCCAAGGAGTTTGTCTCCCTTTTCTTCTGATCCTGGATTAATGCTGCCTTTCCTACCCTAGTTAGTAGGGAGGAAGCGAGGCCCTAGGCCACTAGAACCACGGAACACTGGGGAAAGGAGTAGGGTAGGCTTCAGCTCTCTGGGACCTGCCTTAGGAGTTCATTCATTCATTCTGCAAATATTGGATTGAGTGCCCTGCATGTGGTTATGTACTGAGCATGAGGCTAGGCCCTAGATCCCTGGTGTCTCCCGTACCCCAACTCCCCCTGAAAGGAGAGGTGCAGTGTCAAGGAAATCTCCATTCCTAATATCCAAGGTAGGAGGTATGGGAAACTTGAGAGAGATGAATGGAACAGAATGGGCATTATACGCCACCCCCAATTCAGTCCCCCCATTTTGCTGAACTTGGATGTCCAAACTGGTCCTATTCAACAATCTATCCCTTAGCTGGATTTGTGAGCATCTAATAAATGATTTTTTACTCCCTCAAGAAAGAGAGTTCTCTACCACCTTTGGTCACCTGGGTAGTACCTCCCAACAGGCAGGTTCTTCCTTATATCCTACTTAAGTCCCTCTTATTGCAGATCATGTCATTTAGCTGGGTCTTCAGTAAAGATGGAAGAAAAATAGATCATCCAGAATCCATCCCTGCAGAAACTGTGCCCCACACCCACCTCCCACCTGCACCTTTAATATCACTGGGACAATCCCAACCCCCATGGCTTATTGCTGCCAAGGTAGCATTTTCCACCTCTCCATTACCTGTGGCCACTGAGACCTCTCCAGGCTCTCTGTGACCCTTAAGTGGTTCCCTTTTTTCTCGTGCCATCAGCCAGTAGGTCCTCCTAGCTTGAACCTCTGTCTCAGCTTCTGCTTGTGCATTTCAACAGTTAAACTCTCTCACCTCTACATTTTGAGCATTTCTAGGGATGATCACATGGAGAGCTTGCATACTTGAACTGTCCTGTGTCTTTGTACAACATTTCAGCTCAAATTGAGCCCACTGCCAGCAACATCTCTGGTCACATAGGATCAATGGTAGATTTCACCCCTGCTTGACAGAAATCTTGTCTGCTCTGGGAACCTGAGTTAACAGTGGGAGCCTCAGGGCTCAAGTGGGGGTGGGGCAGAAACGGCAGGGCCCCTGTCAGAGGAGGGAAAGATGCTGAAGGCAATTCTCCCCAAGCCCATAGTGGTGGCTAATTGAATGGGAGGAAGTAGTGATAGTGTTGGGGGTGGGGATGCCAGAAAGGCAAAGGAATAATAGAGAAGTGGTTGGAAGGCAGAGGAAGAAGCAGATGAGAGAGATTTACCAACAGGGCCCATTCCCTCCCCTGAAAAGATTTAGGGATAAGGGAAAAGGTCTCGGAGTTAGCCTGTTTTTGCTGAAACTTTCCCTAGCCTTGAGGTCCTCATTTGGGACCAGGCAGGAGACCTGCGCCAGCCCAGAGCAAACTGTGTGTGAAAGTTGCACTTCCCTCCTGATGTGTTGGTAGAAGGGCTGCCACTGCTGTCCAGGGCAGGCCCATGATGAGGCCATGGGGAGGAGGAAGAATAGCAAGTCCTCCGAGAACAGCTCGAGTCAGGATTATTTTCCCTGGAGAAGAGGAGGCTTGCGGAAGAAACCAGATGTGTTTTGCTCTCTGAATTCTTGTAGAAGGTACAGTGGCTTTTGTCTAGTTGGGTTGAGAATCGTGAAAATAGATCAGGAGGAATGGCACTTCTGCCCAGGGTGGATTTTGGTTGAACACTAAGGAGTTGAGGGCTGTGCGTTTTTGCAGGATCCTCAGAACCTCCTCTAAAGAATTTTAGGAGTGAGTAGAGTCCTCCTGACAGGGCTGCGGAGAGGAGAGCCCTTGGAAATGATGGGTTTCCTAATGGCCACACCCTCTTCCCCAGGGGAGCAGCTTGGATTTTAGGCCTAGTGGAGGATCAGCTGAGAATGTGCCTGCCTCCCTCCCTAACCAGCGGGCGGGTGGGGGATGTAGATAGAGCAGTGTGTCTCTGGCTTGATGGGTATCTGAGAAGGCAGCAGCCTGCTACTTCCCTGTGACTGGCAGAAGCTGGAGGAAGGGAGGGAGGTTGTTCAGGGGCCTCTCAGGCTCCCAAGCCTCTTAGTAATAATACTCAGGGCAGTCCTGGAGCCCAGAGAGGGTCTCTTGCCACCGAGTCTCTGAGCCTCTGAGCCTCAGGCTATGCCTCCTCTGGAGAGAAGGTGGAGGGAAGATTAAGAATATTTCCAGCCCAGAAACCTGCTGGCTAGGGTCATCAGCTTTGCCCTAGCCCCTATGTGCTGCTAGTCTCCTCAGGCTAGGATGTGGGGGTGGGGAAGGGAGGAGGATTTAGTGACACACAGGGCACTTGACTCAGAACACATAGGCTTGCACTTATACTGCTCCCCAGCTGGTGACCTTAGGCAAGTCACTGTCCATCTCTAAGCTTCCAATTCTCATCCATAAAGCA